GCCGATCGACGATCGACGGGGGGGGAGATAAATTTTTTTTTTTTTTGAGAAGAGAGTGAAGGCAAATAATAATTAATAATAATCATCAGTTAAAAAGCACCGCCCACGCTCTTTTGCTTCGGGCTTATGTGTTGAATTTACTTATGTGCCCTTCCTTTCGTTTCAGGTGGCTTTCTATGGGTTTTCGAGCTGCTATCATTAAAAATTATTAACGTGTACACGACGTGGAGGGCATTTTAGTCAGCAAAAAAATTAGTTAAAGTTACTAGTTTGTCTTATCACGTTGTTAACACGTGAAACAAGATTTAACAAAAGTTCGCGAAAAAGGCGTGGACTAATGACGGAGATAATATTTGCATAAGTTTAAATACTTTCTTTGATATTTACTAATTACTGACTTCATATTAATAGTCTGGTCAAGTTCTCTTATATTACTGTTTTGATTTTCTACAGACGGTCGCTGCAAAACTTTTGTTGCAAATAGGCCCCTGTATGTAGTATTGCCCAATTGCGAATAGCACTCCTATAGTATTTGCCCAAACGCAATCGATAAGTAGATATTTATCCTCACCGATAAAACTACGAGAAGTCTATTTGCAATTGCGCGACACTCCGAGGGGTCTATTCACGGGTAACCCTTTAGAATTTATAAGAACATGACGGTTTGTATGACAACTCAATTAGTGTGACGAGCCTTAACTTTCAAACTACGTTCTAATTAGAAAACCAATCTATATCCAGCAAATGAACAATAACCTCCTAATAATGTTTAGCAAACCACAAAACAAAAAATATAAGGGTTTGACCACGTTTTTCATGTCATCCTTCTAATGCTTAAGTTAGTATCTAATCTTCTAAGGTTATTGTGTAACAGTGTAAGCACATAGAAAAAATTTGGAGATGGTCGTGTGCAGTTAATGTCTTACCTCCTTTTATTTCTCTCCGTTGCAAGAAAAAGTATACTAGTACGATGCACGTGCGTTAAACGTGGACTCAAGTTTTGATTAGAACTTTGAAGAAAAGTATGACGAAAGTTTTTAATGTTACATACGACAATATGTAAGTCTTGATTGTTCGTTATTTTTTAATATTAAAATAGTCGTCTCATTTGCTAAATAATTCTACATTTTAGCTAAGACTACACAGAGTAAATGCAAGCAACTCTATATACAACTATAAGCACTAATCTGCTCATTGCATCTGCTAGTTATATGTTCCCCACTTATTCTACTATCATTTATTCTTTTGAACACTGGGAAAAGTCATATTACTTTAACATGGCTTTTGAGGCCAATATTCTCAAGAATTTAGGATAGTTTAAATCCCGTAAAGACTATAAATTAAGTTTATTTAAAATTCTTACATCAAGTGATTATGAGTATCAAAGTATCTATGGATTGTAGACTTACTTGAGAGTAAAATGAATACACTGAAGTGATAATATAAAAAATGATGGGCAAGACAACGCGGCGCTTTTTTGCGGGCATGCAACTTGAAATAACCTTCATCAGCTTAAAAATTGTCATTTGGGGCATGTTACACCTTGTATACATTTGTAAATTTTTATATTTATGATAACAATAATTGTTATAGTCTGTCAAATAACTAAGTATTAAGCCCTTTGGGGAGGCCCACGTGTGTCCCGCTCCATGTCTGACCAGACGTATTCAATGACGGACAACTCACGATGCTCCTGTCGTCAAACCAATAGACCGATAACTTGTGTAGCCGATTAAAAATGTGATACTTGTCAACCTACCCATCAGATCAAGTCTACAAGCATTCACACTCGGCCTACCATTAAAGTCGACAACTTGAATAGCCGACTAAAAAGGCGGTATTTGCCGGCCCTCAGCCACACGAGTAGAGAGACAGTATTCCCTCAAACCCCCCGTCGCCAGCCGATTACTCTCACCTTAAATGCATTGTCAGAGTCATCATTGCTCTAACCCCCATAGTCTTTATGACTCATTGGACCTAGTTAGCTCTAAACATATGTTGCCACCCTCACATTAAATGCTTGGATGACTCACTCCTTTCAGCGACCGACACTTGCGAAGCAGGTGATGATCGAGTCACTAGTTGGACTCAACCAAAAGTACATATCTGTCCTTCTGATCTACTATAAAAAGGAGTTGTGCTGCCTAAGGTAATGGCTTCGGCTCCCATGCAATTCTAAGCAACTCTTTTCTACTCTTATTTTCCCACTCAGTCTCAAATTCTGACTTGATCGTTCGGAGGGCTGGAGAACCCAACTCCGGCCTCTCACGAGTTCTTCATGTGCAAGATAGAACGTCGGATTTCAGAACCAGCCACCTGAGGAAGTTTGAGGACCTTAACACCACCATAATCTACAAATAAACACCCTGTTCGATAACTAACATCGACAATAATAGATAATGATAATCTTATAAAAGAAAATTTTAAGAAAAATGACACAATCTGGTGGTCTAAATTGTTAGACATTGTGGAGAAAACTAATCGATATGAACTTCATTATATGCATAATTAAAGCTAGCAAATTTTAACGATTAGTTTAAAGAAACATGATCACATAACATTACCACCTAAATAGAAAACCTAACAAAATAAGTATATGCTCTCAATAAATAGAAATAACAATTCTAATAAAATAGCGTCAAATTTAAGTAGGCACGCTATTTCATCATATCTTAATTCTTAATTGTTTGACAATGAAAGGGTTGTAACCTAGAGAAACAACTTTGAAAGATTAAGTAACCAAAAGAGTAAAACTCATCTTCACATAGGGTGCAAGTATGAGCTATTAGTATTCCTAATTATAACATAAAGAATAATGTCAAAAGGTAGGCTCTTTAGATTCCATAACAATTGTTTTAATTGCCCCTTAAATAAACACTACAATTTAAATGTAACTCACGATTCAAGAATACATACTGCATGCACCAATGGCATTTTAAGTTGACACATTCATTGCAAAATGAAATGTGCAGTAGTATTAGTTTGACATATGCATTATATCAATTATCTATATATTATATGTGTACTATAATATTTTTATTTATTATATTGAGCGTGTAATTTATATGTATTGAATAAAAATGAGACTTTATATGCAATTAATTAAAGATAGAATTGAAAAATATCAAAATAAGAGGGGCAAAAAAGAATTTAAAAGTTTTAACACTTGAATCCTCTTTCATATGCGGTATAGATTTTTCACTGTAATAGATTTAGTTGTGATTTGGGGAAGATGACGGTAATGATACCAACTATCAAGATGAGATGCTCACGTCAGTCTTACTTTTATGTTGTTGCTTGCCTGACAACGTAATGTGATTGTAATTTTGCACATTTGTACAACTATCATGTTTTTGAGCTATGTAATTTTTCAGCATGTACATAAGTATGCTTGAGTTTACTATCTTGTTTATTTGGTTGTGATCTCTCTTGTTCGGATTGTGTGATTCGACCGCTTCCGCGCCGCGCACAACAGCGATGATCCATAAGCCCCCTTCAAACGGATCACTATGAGCTTTCAAAGTTAAATCAATAACCTTGTTAACATGCGGACCTAATTAAAAGAGTATAACTATTTTACATCAAAAAAAAAAAGAGTATAAGTTCTCCCTTCTTCCGAAGAAATAAAATAATAACGGTTTTTCTATAGAGTGTCAATGGGCATTCTATAAGAGAGGAGAGAGATAGAGAAATGAATTATGCACAGAAATTAATGCAAATCAGGGGGGGCCATGAGCTATTCATTTCTCTCTGGGGGCCATGAGCTATTCATTTCTCTCTATCTCTCTCCTCATAGAATGCCTATGAATACTCTATAGAAAAACCGATAAAATAATAGTTAGTAATAACAAGAAAAAAGAATGTTAACTTCTCCCTTCCCAAAGGGGCCGGGCTCAATCCAAGCTTTGAAACGGACATATAAGTATGACTACATGGCTCCGAACATGAGTGCGCTCTCTACGAAATAATCATTTCGCTGCAACTTGGATGCCGTTTACGCTGAACCACTTGATGCAGAAAACTTTTCATCAAGTACAAATAATAGCACCAAATAATGGATTTGGATCCTCTCCACTATAAAAAAAAATAGTGGAGAGATCACTACTTTTAATCACAATCATTGATTAATTAGTAAACAATTATGATACAATTTAAATCTAACACTTATCATACCCCGTGTATTGCACTCATTCCTAATTTGCACTAAAAAAAATCACAACCATCAACTAGATAATCAATGACTGTGATTATGTAGTGACATCCATTTTTTTTATAGTGAAGAGGATCTGAATCCCCAAATAATGGACATAAATAGTTTCCAAAAATGATTTGAATTTGGTGACGGATCGTTTACAAAACGAGATAATAAAAGTTCAATAGTGACGCTCTACAAATAAATCAAATAGCAAGCTAATAGAACACACACCGATAATATTAAAGCCGTAAAATCAATGTATGATATCGGTATGATTAGGGGCTGTTTGGTTCATTTTTTAACTTGGTGGAAAAGTTTTACACCGTCTCCACATCAGATTTTTCGTGGCCACGTAGGATATAAGCTTTCCGTCGGGTTTTTTCTCATCTTTGGTTCGCTAGGGTTGAAGAAGGGAAACTCGGTGAAAATCGCCGCCGTATCAGATTTTTTTCTCTTCCCCAATTCCTTCCTCAACCTCATGAAATCGACGAAAACTGCAGCTACGTCAGCTTTTTGCCATATAAACAAAAGTTTTTCCTTTTTTTCCATGCGAACCAAACACAAGAAAAATAAATACATTGGTTTCCCACCATTTTTTTTTTGTGCGAACCAAAGCGAAACAATTTATTTCTTGGAAAAGTTTGGAAAACTCAAAAATTGTGTTTTTGTACATGAAAATGCATTTCCCTATATCTAGGAAACGAATCAAACAGCTCCTTAGTAAACATTAATGCAAGTAGAAGTAGAATATTAATGGAAGTACCTAAACTTGGGCCAAACATCAAGAGACTCCCCCCGCTTATTGCTCAAATATCATCTAGATTTTTAATGTTCGGAAGTCATTATTCCCTTAGGGGGTGTTTGGTTGCACAATTTTATAGAAAATTTTTCTCAAAATATTTGAGAATGACAATTTTGTAATTAAATTTTTTTATAGTTTTTCGTAAACCGTGTTTGGTTCAAAAAATTTACAGAAATGTTTTCTGTAAAGTATAAAAAAGTAGCAAAATTTACAGAAATCAATTTCCTCTCAAAATGGGTGGAAATCACCTAGAAATCTGACAACACATTGACAATTTTCTATAAAATTAACATTTTTCTATAAATTTAGGGGGTGTTTGGTTCAATTTCTACAAATTATAGGAAATCTTGCTATTTTCTATAAAGATACGGGTGATTAAAAAAACAAGAAAACTAGTATTTTTTGACTTTTCAAAACTTTTCCTATAATTTTTTAAAAAATACGAGGAAATCATATTTTGGACGGAAAACATTTTAATTCCGTCATCAGTCCTCCAAGTGCTTTTCATAAACTTCACTAAAAATCTCGCTATAATTAACGAACTTCTCAAGTCAAAATCAGCACCGAAACAATCGCGGTGTTTTCCCTCGGTAGTTCGATCTGCATAGCACGGCCTCCTCTCTTTTTTTTTCAAGTCGAAGCAATCTCTTCATCAACCGACAGTGGCAGTTCCGTAAATACGAACCCTCACCCAATCTCACCCACTCCAATCAACCCCAACAAAAAGCACCTCGTTCTCCCACCCACAAAATCACCCTCTCCGGGGGCCCACGAACCTCTTCCTGGTGCGAAGGCGGGGTCCCAGGTATCCCCACCGCCACTCACACAGTCCCTTTAAATCTACACCTACGCGCTTCATTAATTCGCCTTCGCTAATCTCGAGTTGGTACAAATATATAATAATTCTTTCTTCATTTCTCCTTTTTAGATCTCACATGATCTTTCTCCAGATCTGATCCAGTTTCGAGCTGAGGCGATCGTCGATGGAGATCTCAGGGCCGCTCACACCGGGGCAGGTACTGGATTTCCCCGATTATTTGAAAAATTTCGATGCGATTTCGGTCTCGTTGAGCTCGCATTGCTTCGATTTGAGTGAGGGTGATAGATTTAGCTGAGAGTTTGAGGATTTGTGAACTGAAGCAGCGTTAGATTTCTAGCGGGATTGATGGTGAAACCAGGGGAGTTGAGCGAATTATTGATGCGCGTTTGTGAGGTTTATAGGGTTTATGAGGATCAAATGCGGTCCAGTGGCAATTTTGTAATTTTATTTCAGTAATTGATGGTAAATGCTCGTGATTATTTAGGTGTGAGCTGCTGCGATCGTCAAGTTAGTGAGGATTATCATGTTTTTGAGTCAAGATGTGATCGAAAATTGGCAACTGTGTAGTTCTTTTAGCGACTCGTGATGAATCTGATGTTTGTGTAGGTAATAAGTTTCTGATGCAAAATCGATGTTATGAGAAGAAGATTGGAAATTGGACTGTTATAGAGCTTTGTAGGATGACAACTAAAGAAAGGGCACCAAAGAAATGTCTAACGGATGAATGTGAATCGTGTGCTTGTTATATCTAATGACGTACGGAGAGCTGTGTTACTTAAAAATTTTCATGCTTTCGCTCGCGCTATAAATCTGATATAATTTTTTTGTCGTTCTGTAATGTTAGTGATATGAGAAGGGATAATTAATCGTCAGTGAGGTTTATAAGGTTTAAGAATGGTGTGTATTAGGTTTATAAGGCAAGTTGTAAATTTTGCAAATTTCGTTTGGCTAAGTAGAGAGTTTAATGACTTTTCTTTTGATGATTCAACTTATTAAATGTGGTTCACATATCCATCAAAATGGTTGACTCCATATTTTCTGAGCATCTGAAATCTGATGTTTGTCTATTGTGGAGCATCTAGTATATTGAAGCATTCATGTGTGAATTTACTGCAGGTGTCATTTATCCTTGGGTTCATCCCCTTACTAGCAGCATGGGCATACTCTGAGCTATTGGAATACAGGAAGAATTCAGCTGCTTTGAAAGGGTGAGCTGTATTATCTGTGAGAAATCCATTTTATGATAGCTCTCCACGTGTTGTATGCATTCTCCATATTTCTTATTCTAACTGCCTAACTTATTCAGAGCAATTCTAATTGATTCTTGATAGAGCAATTCTAGTTGTTGTACAATGTCTTTTTGATGCTTAAGTTACCTTAATATAAAGTTGATGTGAGAAAGGAAAATCATCCAATAAGAAAAAAGAGCTGAGCTGCTAGGCAGATGGTCTACAAAACCTCAAGGGAAAGTTGGTGTCTCTTTTACACCAATCAATTATCAGTCCATCAACTGATTCGATCTTCTCATCCTTTCCCATTCATCACTATTCAAGCCTTCTCCATAAAAAAATGTTCCCAGTATGGATGAAGAACTTAATGGGTGGGCTTTCCTAGCAACTATTGCCAAACTTTTTCATGCTGTCAGCTTAATGTTACTATACTCGGCTGGTGCCTATTTTGTAGTAAAGACACATATTGCTGAGTGGTGGTCTTGTAAAAAGGTCATAGAAGGGTAGTTAGATAGAAACCATTACCTTATAGTGTTTTTGTTTGTGCTCATGGGCCATGGCACCACGAAGCAACCTCAAAAAGCCCCTAGTGTATGAATGGGACTAAGTGATAGACTAGGAATATGATCTGTTATAGGGAAGCCCGTTCACTTAAGATACACATCGATATACCATTTAATGTTTCAGAAATGTAATGCATAGTTGTATTACATTTTAATGTTTTTTTATTCTCTCAACTAACTTGTTATGGTTCAAAGGCTGTACTTTTACACAAGAGCTTGTGGCGTTGCCACTTCCTTTATGATTGCACTTCATAATGGTTATAGATAAATATTTACTTGACTGTTTTTAATGGATTTGGACTAAATTTCTCCCTTGTTTAGCAGCAGACTTTCAGATGTAAATTTGGTTGAGTTAAACAATGCGCCAAATGATGAAGATGACAGAGTTAAGTTATTAGAGGGAGGTCTTCAGGCAACATCTCCTAGAGCTCATAATTCATCTACCTCTGGACAGCTTATCAGGTATAAAGCGTATGGTAATGTCCTTACTATGCTTACTAAGAAAGGTCCTCTTAACTATTGAGAGTGCTCATTATGACTTCTTAGATTATTCTCAATGGACGAGGCGTTCTTGTTAGAGAACCGATTGACACTAAGAGCCATGTAAGGAGCTTTAACTGATGATAATCCTTTAAGCTGCAACTATTCTGTCAAGTTATTTGGATTGTTGGCTTGCAGATCTGAATTCGGAGCTCATTTGGTCTTTTTTTACTTGTGTGATAGAACAAATCTATTTGGGCAATCGGAAAAGGTGATGTTTAATTTCCTAGCCAGAAGAAATCTATATTATCCTATGTATATTTAAAAAAGGTTTTCGTCTGTTCTGGTACATTGGCCAGGTGTAGTTGTGTCCATCATTTTCTCTTTGCAACTTTGGAAAGAGATAGTATAAGTGAAAAATCTATTGGAGAGAATAGTTGCTAAAACAAGTAATGCTGAGATGTTTGAGCACACAAAACAAAGGATAAAATATGAGAAGTTAGATAGACAAGATGAGGCAGTCATTTCAGATTGCTAGGACATGCAATGGAAAGTAACAAGTGCACCAGTTGGAAAAACATAGTTCATCTGAGAACAAGATGGGATAGAATTATTGTAGAAGGTCATACACAATGGAGAGTAATAAGTGTTCCAATTGGAAAGATAGGGCCATGCTTGAAGAGAGTGTCTAGGTCTAGCATCTGGTTTTAAGTAACAGAAAATGATATGACATGTAACCCACTGCATAAATTGCAAATAAAGGCTTTGTTGATGTTGCCGTCATGTTGTAGAAGAAAACAAGTAGGGTTTAAGCGAAAGACAACTTAACATGACAGAAAAACATTTCATATATCTAGGGTTTAAGAGGAAGACAACTTAACACGACAGAAAAACATTTCACATGTGTGATTAGATCTGAGCAAACTTCAACCTAAACTCATCGAACCACCCGATTTTTGACAATTCGGTTTGGTTTGTGGTTTGATTGGACAGTTCGGGTTAAAAAAAATTTCAACCCATTTTAACCTAATCGACTGAATACCCAAATTAAACTCTCTCATAAGTCATAATTATACCCTATATCCTCCTATATCTCTACATGCGAGACCCCCACACGCGATTGATTCCAATTGCAGCTCAATGCTAGCTGTTATCAACTCATCACAACACAAAAATAGGGAAAGGCATCCGTCAATACCAAAATCAAGCCATGTCCATGGCCTCCCTCCTCTCATGATGGCTATCGTAACCAACTTATTATCTAATTCAACATTTCATCCATAATTCTCTTTCTTTCTCATCTTTGTTTTTTCCATCAACCATCTTTGCCCATAGTGAGAGCCTCCCATTTCTAGGTTTTGACCATGATGGCTGTCTCTTTTCACTTGTTCATGGAGGCTATTGTAACCCGAAAGAACCAACCAAACTGAATGGTTCGGTTCAATTCAGTCTTCACTTTTTGGCTTGGTTCAGTTTCATCTAAAATGACGAAAACTGACCCGACTGACCATTTGTTCACCCTATATGTGACCCAACATTTGAGATGGATCTTCATTATTCATCCTTTTAATTGTACTAGAAAATAAAAATCTACAAGACTGCAATGACTGTGTAGAATTTTAAGCTTTCATTGCCATCTATGAACATTACTTTTTCTTAAAATTTATGTGATGTGTGATAGTTGTCAACTTGCCATTGCCACCTACATATGTCTAGGTGCTAACCTGTCACACCCCAAGCTACGAGCATGTTGGCATGATATAAGTTGGGGGACTCGCTTAGTGCAACACATTGTTTGACTCGATCTACTGCTAAAATTGGCTATAGCCAATGTTACACTTGTATCCCATGACCCGTCATTTATGAAAATTGGTCCATTCCAGTATCACGAGGTGATGTGCATCGTAGAAGTGGATCTTAAACACGTTAGTGCGGATTAGCACTTAGTCCCGTATAGCACTTCCATACTTTTTGGCTGGTTTGGCTGGTTAACTGCATGATATCATTTGTCATGCACTGGGCCTGTAAGCATATTGGCACGGTGTAACCCCATGGACCCATTGATAGTTGTCAACTTGCCATTGCCACCTACATATGTCTAGGTGCTAACCTGTCACACCCCAAGCCACGAGCATGTTGGCATGGTATAAGTTGGGGGACTCGCTTAGTGCAACACATTGTTTGAATCGATCCACTGCCAAAATTGGCTATAGCCAATGTTACACTTGTATCCCATGACCCGTCATTTATGAAAATTGGTCCATTCCAGTATCATGAGGTGATGTGCATCGTAGAAGTGGATCTTAAACATGTTAGTGCGGTTTAGCACTTAGTCCGGTATAGCACTTCCATACTTTTTGGCTCTGGTTAACTGCAGGATATCATTTGTCATGCCCTGGGCCCGCAAGCATATTGGCACGGTGTAACCCCATGGACCCATTGAGTGCAACATGTTGTTTGGCCTCAATCTAGTACCAAAAATGGCTAGCCAACGTTACACTTGAATCTTATGATTCATCATATAAATTCTCTGTATTCTCTTAGTTTTCCTAATGGGGGACTAAGTGGGGCATGGGCATCACATAACCTGGGTTCTCTGTCAGCTCAAACCATCTCAGAACCTGTTTTGATTCACTCCGTTCATATAAATTCTCTGTAAATTCTCTGTATTCTCTTAGTTTTCCTAATGGGGGACTAAGTGGGGCATGGGCATCACATAACCTGGGTGCTCTGTCAGCTCAAACCATCTCAGAACCTGTTTTGATTCTCTCCGTTCATATATTTTCTTCTTGTAGTCAATCTGCATACAGTTTAAACTCTCTGGTGCTTCTCTCTGGAATGTGACAATGGAGGAGGTTAATTTATGAATTTAAACATTATTATTTAGCCCTGCTGGAAAGATTTGTTTTGTTTCTGCAAGTATTTTGTTTGTATATTGTAAATATGTTTGTTTTGATTGCTCTTTCTTTTCCTTGTTTGCAGAGTTACAGCCGTGACCTTTTCCTTTTCCTCTACTTTCTTCTCATCATTGTAGCAGCAGTGACTTCTTTTAAAGTCCACAATGATAAGTCAGCATTCTCAGGAAAATCTATTCTTTATCTCAATAGGCACCAAACTGAGGAATGGAAAGGGTGGATGCAGGTTAGTTGGCTTCTGATATTAGCATCCTGCAAATTTGAGAAACCTACATTCTCTAGTACTGTTGCTATTCCTCATATCTGTAATTTAGACTCTCCAAGCTAATATAATGCAGGTGTTTTGTATGCTACCATGTGCAGTATTATTCACGCTATATACTATCACCGATTGATTTGTTTGATATTCCATGGTCTTATCTGCTGTCTGGTATTCTCTTCTGTTTTCCCGCTGATCGATGATATATTTGGATAGATAGAAATGAGGGAGGAGAACCTTAGATTACTGGAGTAATCCCCAGGCATGTTTCGTATCCTTCCACCACAAACCAGTCAATTATCAAGGACAATTCCCATTAGGGTGCCTCCATTTTGGAAGGACTAGATCAAACTCAATAAGCCTCTTAGGAGAGGTTTAACCATCTAACCTTTTTCTTCCAGGTGTCACTAGATAGTTCCTGATATTATCAAGGAAACTCCCACTGGGATGCCTACGTTTTCGAAGGATTGATTCAAGCTCAATCAACTACTTAGGAACATAAGGTGTAAGCGTCTAAAACCTTTTGCTCAAGCTGTCAGTAGATAGTTTTGATACTTGATTTGAATGTCCTCGATTCCCTTTTCATTGCACTTGCAATCACATTGTTCTTATGGATGTTGGGACTTGTGGATGTTGGGACTTGGGAGTACACCAATTGCATCATGGCTTTACCTTTGGCTTTAAGCACTGCAAATGAAATTTTAAAGTATTAAAAAGCCTGGAAGAAAAGAGAATAGTTAACTCCTCCCTTGATTATTTGTATTATATGTTGATACTATTATAATAAAAGATCCTTTGTGAATATATATTCAATAAAACCCTCCCTCAAGCTGAGAGTATATATAATTACATTATCAACTTGTTGTCATTAAGCTGAGCACAAGGCTTACCAAGTGTTTTGGTGAGAAAATTTGCTAACTGGTAATTGCTCTTGTCTCGATTTTCTCTTCTACTGCCATATCTGGTAGGAGATGGTTCGTGTCTACTGCCATATCTGATAGGAGATGGTTCATATCTTTCGTATATACTAGTTCACATATATCCATGTAAAAGTTTTCCTTTAGCACCTGCTTGAATTTAAGATGTCTTGAACAGGAACTATGATTAATACCTAGTTTTCATACCTTGGAAAAGGGAGTTTTTGCTTAATAGTTGTGTTTTTGACAGTACGTTTCAAAAATAGAAAGTTAGCTCTTTTGTGCGGGGAAAGATCCCATCAATTTGAGTGGGTCTGTTTAATTTAACTTCGAGGAATCTTGTTGACATTCTCTTCTCAATATAGATGTACGTAATTATTTGTTACAAATTTCCATACTATACACCTGTGCTGCCAGGAAAACATAATTTGTGATAATTAATTCTAGCAAATTAAACTTGAATGCCTTCACCTATACAGGTACTGTTTCTAATGTACCACTATTTCAGTGCTAAAGAGCTCTATAATGCAATCCGTGTCTTTATCGCTGCATATGTCTGGATGACTGGGTTTGGGAACTTCTCTTATTATTATGTCCGAAAGGATTTCAGCGTTGCACGTTTTGCGCAGGTAGAGTACGTCAGCATTCTCATTTTTGTGTTAGCATGTGGTTCCAAGTCCTGTTCATGATTTCTTCTTCTTCTTCTTACTTTAAGCGTACCCTTTCTTACAGTTTGTCTTGTTGAATAGATGATGTGGCGTCTCAATTTCTTCGTAGCATTTTGCTGCATCGTCCTTAATAACGATTACATGTTATATTACATATGTCCCATGCACACCCTTTTCACCCTTATGGTCTATGGTGCACTGGGAATTTTAAATAAACACAACGAACATGGTTCGGTCATTGCAATAAAGTTTGCTGCCTGCTTTCTAGTGGTTATTTTCATGTGGGAGGTCCCTAAAGTTTTTGAAATTATGTGGAGCCCGTTCACATTCCTTCTAGGTTAGTACCATTCTAAAGTTACTACTTACATTTGATCTCTCTCATGCACTACTTATTGAAGTTAATCTTGCTCAGGTTACAGTGATCCAGATCCCTCAAAACCACCATTTCCTCGCTTGCATGAATGGCACTTCAGATCAGGACTTGACCGATATATATGGATAGTGGGAATGATATATGCTTACTATCATCCAACTGTAAGTTCTATTTTGTTTTGATAAATTTTTCATTACTAGGAAGTTTATTGCAGTCTATTGCAATAATATGTGAACTTTATATTTAATGTTCCATGCTGAATCTGGAGGTATAAGTTTACCCTTTACTTACAATCTTCAGTCTTGCGCTTGTTTCAATTTTCAGTGTTATCTTCTCTGTTCTATATCACTACTACTGTAATCAAGATGTTAGTTTTATACAGGTTGAGAAGTGGATGGAGAAACTTGAAGAAGCAGAAGCAAGGATAAGAATATCAATCAAAACATGTGTTGTGACAATCTCTATGGTGGTAAGTTCACTAAATCTACGTTTTCCTCTTGTAGTTTGTGATTCATCTATCCAATCGTTAAATCTCTCGCATCTAATTTCAGGTGGGATTACTGTGGTATGAATACATTTATAAGTTGGACAAGGTTACCTACAACAAATATCATCCATATACATCTTGGATTCCGATAACGTATGCATAATACATTATTGCTTTATGCAGCAGCAAGTTGTTACTTGAAATTACTGACTCCTTTTCCCCCCTTTTTTCAATGTGTGTACTTTGGGTAGACAGTGTTTACATCTGCCTGCGAAACTTCACTCAGAAGTTCCGTAATTGCTCCCTTACCCTCTTCGCGTAAGTGGTTTTTCCCTCCTATTTCTTCATTCTACTTTTACATTCATCAATCAGCTTTCCGTTGTGTCTACTGATTATGTCATCCTATTAGATTTGACATATCTACCTTCAAATTATTATACATCTCCAGCTTTTGGTAATTCTAAGAAATGTTCTGTTCACTTGATCAGTTGGCTTGGAAAGATTACTCTGGAGACATATATATCACAGATCCACATCTGGCTCAGGTAATCACACATTCGTTACTAAATGATTTATATGAGCTCAGGTATGTCCAGAAAGACTAGTTCTTTCAACTCGTGATTTCAAGTCATTGTGCAATATGTGCATCTGGAGTTAAATTAGAGGCCAACCTTAACAGGAATGGTGCTATCTCACGTAACATTGACATGATCCACCTATTCCTATGCTGGGTATTTCCCATTCCAACCTTTCTCAGACTACTGATGTTGATGTTAGGTACTGGATTGCAATTGTATCTACTTTTCTAAACGAAGTAGATAGTGATTTATGACTCTGTCATGAATTATCAACTTCTCTAAATCAGATAGTGATTTATGACTCGCGCATGAATTAGGCAACATATTTGTTCCTATGCTGGGTTTTTGTTTATTTTTACCAGTCCCAATAGGCCATAATAAAGACCCCCACCCCCCCCCCCCAAATAAATAAATAAATAAATAAATAAATAAATAAATAAAAGGAAACCTACCCACCCACACACACAATGGAGACTTGGAGAGCCAAAACAGGATAACCCATACACATTTAATTCTCACAAGGTTGTCTAACATATGGCTAGAAGTACTAAATTATAGAACTTGCAGGTCAGCAGTGCCTAATGGACAGCCTCGATGGCTGTTGTCTCTCATCCCCAAGTACCCATTGCTGAATTTTATGCTCGTTACTGCCATATACATTTTGGTGAGTAACCTTCGTGTTGCATGCAGGTTTAATCATCAACAAGCATATGGATAGAGACATGCTGAATTTTCACTTTAATTAACAATGCAGGTTTCACACAGAATATTTGAACTGACGAACACGCTGAAGATAGCATTTGTGCCTAGTAGAGACAACAAACGCCTGAGGAATAACATGATTACAGCAGCTGTTTCCGCGATTGTCTTATACTCCTTGGCCTTTGTGTTCCTCAGTGTTCCAAGAATGCTGGTACGCCTTTGTTATCGATATACTAAATGTTTCATCCTAGAAAGTGCTAACTAGACATCATCCTAAACAAGAACAGTTATGTATGGACTCGACCACTGGGCAGAGACTTAGCTATTTGACCTCTTTAACTATGCATTTCAGACTTTTATAGAGCATTACGTAAAAGATTGCTTCAAATCCTTATAGAGCCTGGATAATATTCAAAGTATCTGTAGAAAAAGAATGTGAAGAGAGGAGATCATTAAATTATATTAACTGAATTAGACCAATGAAGAAAAAAACGAGTAAGGTATGGATGAAATGTGTACCAGAGTCTCATACACATTGATGTCCAAGAGTTCTAGATACTCATACTAAGATATTTAAAGTTATCTTAATTCTAACCATGCTAAATACGTTTATATAATACAGTTTCTGCTGAAGTTTTGTATTATGGCCTTCTGTGGTATGGAACTACGGATTATAGAAACTGTTCAATATTGTAAGAAAGGTTTATACATTATTATTTTTGTTAGTACGCATATGCATCCACAGTCCCAGGAGTATTTAGTATTACTGCATTAGTAAGATACATCACTATGTAAGTTAAAGTAATCTGAAATAACAAGATTACAAGGAAATTTAATTTTTTTAATGTTGTGTTTTCGTACTGCATGATGTAAAGTGGAAATATCTGTTCAACTCATTCCATTTTAAGTGAAAGAATAAGGATAAGTGGTCTACCACACATCAAAGTGAGAATATCAGAGATGGGTACATAATGTTGATTTCATTTGCCACCGACTTATTCGTGGGGTTTTACCTAATGCTGGTTGTTTTAAAGCGATGATGCGAACTCAGTACGCTGCCGATCTTCAGGCTTAGCTGACATCTATTCTTTTGCCAAAGTCTTTCAATTGCCCTCTTCTCATTGTTTTCTCCTTTCATCACATGCAGTAGCAACCGCATCAATGATGAATTTGAAGATGGAGGTTAGGAAGCCCAACCCGAGGCAATAGCGACAGGAAAATACAGTTTATGCTACAGGAGAACGTTCACGGTAAAAGGAGAGTAGGAGGTATTTCGGTGAGTGTCATGTGTTTTTTCCCCAAATATCGAATCCAATTTTATCTGTACATACAAAGGGTACACCCCTTTTTGTTTGAATCATGTAAACATCATTGGAACCTTAATACGACGACCACAAATTTCCAAGCAAAGCAACATTCATGATTTTTTCTGTTCTTCCTCTGCCTGTAACAGTACTGTTTTCGACTTGTAATTCGCTCTTACGGCAAAAGCTGTAATAAACTGTTTGATTGCGTAATATCTTATTTTTTTGCAACTTCCGACCAAATGTGGAACTCTCTGTTGGGTAATCTCGACTTGAAATAACTTTGAACTCATAATATCTCTGTTGGGTAATCCCAAATTTGATGCTTGCAATGCCCATTAATCCTCAAAGTTAATATTTTTAAATTAAATATATTGTGATAGCTATTCTATTCCACTTACATTATTTCTCTACGACAAGAGAGAAATTTGTAATGTCCAACAATTACTAAGAGACATTTTCATCATTAATATACGCAATTTTTTCTATCAAGGATTAAAAAAATAAGATAAATCTTCTATCTTTTGTGTTGTCAACAATGTCAGTTTGACTTGAAGGGTTCATGCGCCTTAAATAAATATAATATTAAAATATTTAGTTATATAAAATTATTTTTTTCATAGATTATGTTTATAAATTGTTTAATATTATTTTAAAATATTTTTATAAATTATTATTTTATATATTATATTATTATTTACCAATATATATTTTTTTATCTTCATAAAATAATATATTATATTATTTGTATATGTGTATGTCTATATATAACCATCAAACTTATATACACTCAATTTTATACAACTAACATATAAATTTAAAAATAATTGCAAAAAAAGAAAACAAAAGTGCGAAAAATCTTACAAATGCTCGCATATATAACTTAGAATGAAATTGTTTTTGACCCTAACGAATTAAAATATGAAATCAACTAAAGTATGAAGGAGTAAAAATGAGAAGGAATAAAATAAAATATGAAGTGATAAAGAGGAATTATATAAAATGTTTTGAAATTTAAAATAAATTACAAATTAGATCTCTAGTGAGGCTGTAAGTTTTACAGAATGATATTGTTACCATTATTTTGAGGAGAGAAATTGACATATATATAGATAAAATTACAACCCATGTTAGAAAATAACGAGAGATTGGGGGGGCATCCAAGGAATTGAAGAGAATATATACCCAATTTCATACAATTACAAAATACAAAGAAAAAAAAATTAACATGGGCATGCGTTAGAAGTTTTGCATTGAATAAATGAGTAATGATCAACAAAAAGTAGTTGAAAGAGTAATTGCAATAAAGTCTACAATTTTGAGGATAGTGAATGTTAGTCTTTACATCAGAAGTTCAAAACAAAAGTGCGAAAAATCTTACCAATGCTCGTATATATAACTTAGAATGAAATTGTTTTAGACCCTAACAAATTAAAATATGAAATCAACTAAAGTATGAAGGAGTAAAAATGAGAAGGAATAAAATAAAATATGAAGTGATAAAGAGGAATTATATAAAATGTTTTAAAATTTAAAATAAATTACAAATTAGATCTCCAGTGAGGCTTTAAGTTTTACAAAATGATATTGTTACCATGATTTTGAGGAGAGAAATCGACACATAGAGAGATAAAATTACAACCCATGTTAGAAAATAACGAGAGATTGGGGGGGCATCCAAGGAATTGAAGAGAATATATACCCAATTTCATACAATTACAAAATACAAAGAAAAAAAATTAACATGGGCACGCCTTAGAAGTTTTGCATTGAATAAATGAGCAATGATCAACAAAAGTAGTTGAAAGAGTAATTGCAATAAAGTCTACAATTTTGAGGATAATGAATGTTAGTCTTTACATTAGAAGTTCAAAACAAAAGTGCGAAAAATCTTACCAATGCTCGTATATATAACTTAGAATGAAATTGTTTTAGACCCTAACAAATTAAAATATAAAATCAACTAAAGTATGAAGGAGTAAAAATGAGAAGGAATAAAATAAAATATGAAGTGATAAAGATGAATTATATAAAATGTTTTGAAATTTAAAATAAATTACAAATTAGATCTCCAGTGAGGCTGTAAGTTTTACAGAATGATCTTGTTACCATGATTTTGAGGAGAGAAATCGACACATAGAGAGATAAAATTACAACCCATGTTAGAAAATAACGAGAGATTGGGGGGGCGCGTCAAAAGTTGGTTTTGTTATGGAATTCTTTATATCTTCGGTCGATTACAACAAATTCAAAGAAATAGTCTTTTTATAAGACCTCTTTTACACAACAAAATTAAAAATTACAACTCTTGAGAAACAAACGCAGGATCGTTGTTTGGATCGCTGCTTGCGTGGGATCTTTGCCTGTGCCGGGAGCGCTTTGACTCGTGGACCACCGAATCACGGATTCTGATTGAACCATGAGGGGTTTAATGATTCTTCCTTCGTTTATCGAAGTAAGAATTTGAAGTGAATATCTTATCGATGTAAGTAACACGATTTCACTCTTCTAAAAGATGCAGTCAGAGCAGATCTCAGGTAAATCGGCCAGCAAGCTTCTTGGAGGATGCTGTTGTGAAGAAGGAGGACTCTCTTTCTTGTTTCTATTCCGCACCAAACGTCAAGGCCTGCATTGCTCCCTTAAGATCTGGCCGTTCCCCCCCCTTTATTTGTGTCAGGGAGGTATTTATTAGGGTAACAATGCAAATAACAGTTGAAAAAGAGAAAGCGAAATAATACCGATAGCGAACTATTCTTATTGGCCGTTGCACCTCAGTCTACACGCCGCGGCTATTGGCGCGGCATTGTGTGACTGCCACGGCTATTGTGGCAGGTGAATGCCGCGGCAAGGGGTGTTACGCCAGCAGTCCATTCGTGCCTAACCGTTCCCAACGAGCCTTAACGATCACCTTTTCGTGGTAGTTAAGACTGCTTTGTCCGACTCGCACACGTTCTATCTCTGATATGCCGCGCTTGAGCGTGGGCCGTTCAATAATCATTCATCGTATAACTGGTCTTGTACCGTCACATGTGACCCGACGGGCACTCTCTATAAAACCGC